GAGAGAGAGAGAGAGAGGAAAAATAAAGTCAATGTGAGCACAAGAATTTTGTTTGTTTGTTGTGTAGTTTGTCTGTATTTTTTTATTGGTTTAAAGAAGGGCACATAGCGCATTATATTATACCATGTTTGGATGAAAAGTTAAGTCCCTTTGATTTTGTATATTATCTTTTTTTTACCAAATTGCATGTTTAAGAATACACGCTTAACTTATTTCCAATTACCGTTACAATTTGTAATTTTGTCATTGTTTGCTGATAGTATAACTGATACTGAACTACTCGATTCTTGAAAATGCGCTTGACTTTAAAGCAGCATGCCTACAGATTCATGCTAATTGTGCATGAAACTTTTGAAAACCTATCAAAACATTATTTTCAAGTAAACAAATCTTGTAATTTACACATTGCAAATGACACATACAATCAACGTAAATTACCAAAAAGAAGTCATATATGCAAAAATAGCCCTTATTGCCTTAGACACACAGTAGAAATATGGTGATAAACACTGCAAAATCAGTCATGAATCGTACATAACATAATTTGAATTTCTTTATATGTTTTATACCTAACAAGCCCCATACATAGATGTTTAGATATACATTGTATGTCTTTATGTGTATTGTACGTATATACATGTATGTTGTAGTGTAAAACAATTTTGCAAGCCCTTGGCATTTTTCATTAGAATATACTTCAAATATAAAGAAAGAATAGGTCTTAAAACAATGGCAAAAAATCAACAACAATAAAACAACAAACATCAGGGATCGAACCATAGACCTCTGACATATTAGGTAATCACTTAACTGACTGTGCAATTGCAGATGTGACGAGAACCTATACCTTAAGCTAGTGTGACCTTTCCTAACACCATATTAATTCTCGTAATCTATACGGACAGAACCGAAATGGGGTCGAATATTTAAATGAGTGCTGTAATGTATTCATAATTGACAGGTCAATAAAATCAGATTATACGTATAAGTTAGTAGCACTATGATTATAAAAAATAAAAACAAAATTTAATGTAAAGGTTTCAAATCATACACTGGTCTTACTTTTATCAAATGTGAAGCATAATGTGCGCTCAAATATATATCTTAAAATAAACATTTGTTTTATTTGTATAATTTCAATGTTTTGTGCCATAACTTCTTGTTTATCGAAATGTCGGAAAAAGAGGTTTCCAGTTTGTAAAATAATACTTCGATTAGTAATTGAACAACATAGATCAGTGTATGGAAGAAACGTTTTATTCATGTTTTACAGTATACATTTATCTTTAACTTTATGGATACTCTATCATAGATGCTGACACTGTCTCTCCAGAGATTGCAAGTATTAACACTATACTAGTATTTATAATTGGTACTTTTACATATTTGACTGAAGAATCTCTAAAATGACTTATAAATTGAATAGTACATGAGTCATAACCATTTATCATACGAATGACATATTTTAATTAGTGGCAACGGCAGCGCGTTTTTTATAAATTAGTCATACCTGTAAAATATGATTTGCAGAGTCCTTCAACATATTCACCGGAACTCTACACATTTTCCAGCTTCAGAATTCATTCCGTCAAAGCATTTTTGAACTGTTATTTGGGTTTACTGGTAGAGAGCGATTCCGAAGGCACTACGGATTTCTAACCGGCGACAGCAAAGACAAGATTTGATGTATGGATGTAACCAAAAGTCACAAGGAGAGAAGTCAGGACTATAAGCAGGATATAGCAAAACCACCATTCTCTGCTCCTCTAAATTAGCATGAATCAAGGCTGACCGGTGTGCAGACCTGTGCATTATCGTGGAAAATTTGATCCTGCACACCCCGGACCTTGGGTTCTTTGTAATGTAGTGATAACTACAGCAGTAAGAAGATGGTCACAGTAAACAGTTCCAGTGTCCCAGTGACACTTTCTCTCTGAGGCACAGCGACACGGTCACGGACCACTATTCCATCGCTGTCAAAAAATAGAGCGTACAAAACACTTTTAACACTCCTGCTACGTCGAGCAAAAGCTAGGCGATAGCGGTTAGCACTTACCTATATTTTGTCACTGAGTTTACTGTATAGTTCTTTGTATCTAGTCATTAAGGCCGAGGCTTTTCAACCCGCTTCCTTTTCAGATCAGAAGTTAGCAAATACGGGATCCAACGGGCGTACACTTTTCTTGGCGTTTACTTTTCTTTCAATATGGAATACACAAATGACGCACTAAGGCCCAATATGTTACTTATCTCCTTCACGGTATATCGTGTATCTACATCAACTATGATTTTGATAGTGCCGATGTCTTTTTCAGATATAGCGGAAATTGGCTGCTCAGGGCGGGAATCATCCTCAACAGCTACCTTCCTTAAACATTGACACCCATCTGGCAATCGTACGATATGGAAGGGCGTTTTTTTCCAAAAAAGTAAATCTAAAATCGTTTTTATTTCTGATGCGCATTTTCCCAATAACCCACGAATTTTACAATAAGTTCTTTGCCCTCTCTCTCAAATCACAATGCAACTCGGCCTTATCAAAATGATCTTGCACGGGCAAATCTTGCGAAAATAGACAATCAATAATCTTTAAAACGGTATATTTTACATGTACTTTCCCGTGCAAATCGTGGTTAAATTGAGTTGTTGCCACTAATTAAAATATGCCATGCGTTTAAAAAAAATCAGACCACCATGCTATGTAATTAGTAATTTACTTATATTGTATACTATTTCTATAGGTATTTTAAGTACAAATTTATAACAAGAACGATTTGATTGTGTTTTTACATTAACTACTGCGCTATCTCTTATACCATATGTACGGAGACGAGCGCCTGAGCTTTAACACGAACGAAAAAAATCATTCGTTTATCCTAGCTTCCAAACGTTTTACCAACTAATATCAACTTTTTTCTGTTCATCATTTCCCGATAATATTGTGTGCAGACATATATTCTCTATTCTTTATCTTAATTCAAAACTTTATGTAAATATTTTTGTCTCTTTTTTCTTCGAAACATTCTATATGTATATAAAATCATCTGAAACATTAACTTAAATTGAATACTAGTTAAAAACAATATTTTACTTTGTAATAATAATTTCACAATATTATGAAATAATCTTGAAACAGTTTTTTTTATTCTACTACTCTAGATAATAATGTTCTTTTTAATTATTTATCTGATTTCCCTTTTTTCTGTATTATTCTAACCAAATACATGTATATGCATATCTTTTTATTGCAAGTAGCTTATTTGTGGAAAGGAATTTAAAAAATGTCACATTTGACTTGTTTTCCAATCCACGAAATATATCAGTGTGATTGTATATGCTTACTGTATTATATTTATGTTGTATAAATTGAAATAAATATTATTTAAACTAACTACTGCCCAAATTTCGTAAAACTACCCAAACCATGAACATGAGATTGAAAGATTCTTATTTCGTAAATCTCTTATTCTAACTTAAGTCAAAACAAGCAGACGGATACTACTTACAACAGTAAACACATGCATCTTACATATTTTCACCTTTTATGTAAAAAAAAATAAAAAATGACGTTGCAGACTAAAATCTTAGAAGTGCGTGTTTTTGAATTTTAAGTATGTGTTATTATCAATTATCTCTAGAATAGTATTTAATAATGGAAATCTTAGCAGATCTGACAAAAACTCGAGACAATTATATGTAATTATGTAAGTCTACGTTTACAATACTGCGTGATATACATGTTTTTCAGAAGATAATTTAATGATATATAATTATAAGGTACAATTTGTTATTTCACAGAGAAAAGTTCAGACTATAATTTCATTGTTGCCGAACTGTATTTTACAGCTGTTGAATTTCATGTACCATACATGAATGGAAATTTTCAGTAGAATTACTTACTTACTATTCAATGTAAGCTTTGCGTTCTGGACAATTATATACATGTTATATAACAATTCCAGGATCGGAATAGAATTGAAGATAAAAAGACGATAAATATTTTTACGGACATTAAATATATGTTGACATACTTATTTTGTTTATTTGTATTTTTGATATAATAAAAACTTTATTGTTTAAAGTAAAATACTTAGTACTCCATATAATACAAGGATTTATTTTCATATGAATTTTACTAATCTTGCTTTCTGTTTAAGAGTAGGCAACTACCCATTTTTGATATTTATATCAAAGCATGGCTACTGAAGGTCACTGAAGGTCACCGGTTCACCTCGTAAACTGAGGTCACGTGGTTGCCCGTATATATGGCGGTTATATATTCCATAAAAAGGTATTGGGTTTGTCTCTTAAAAGGAAGGTCACTGATTCGAAACCGATTGTATCATATTGAAGATGAATATAAAATAGTTAAAACAGCCTCTTCGCCTGGCACTCACTCGAAATGAGGTAGATAGTTCGAGTATCGATTGATTTGCTATCATTATAATTTGATTGGAAAGATAATTGAGCCGCGCCATGACAAAACTAACATAATGTGTTTGCGACCAGCATGAATCCAGACCGGCCTGTGCATCCGCAGGCTCAGTGGTAAAGTGCATTACTAGTTATTTAGGGATCGCAGATTCGATCCCTTACTTTATCAATATTAGTTCTTATGGTCTTTTGAATGCAAGAATTAAATAGCGGGCAAGTAAAATGAGTGTCGGCTCTGGAACAGGGTAATTAACATAGGGTTTCATTGGCTTAGTGGTTATGGGGTGCTAAATTTTTACACCACTGCCACTTTACCGTAGAGTTTGAATCCCGTCAGGGAATCGAGATTCTTAAATATGAGTAAACTAACCAGCTAAGTAACGAAAGGCTGGTAGCTGCAGCTCGTATCTGAGGTCTTCCTCCACCAGCCAGGCTTAAATGTCGCCTTATGACATGTGTAGTGTTGGTAGTGTGACTTTACAAATTCACCTACTACATGTACATGTTTTGAAATTAACTTTGTGTCATGATAGGATTCAGTATAAAAGAAAAACAAAAAACAAAAATATAATTTCTTTATGTTTTCTTCTACGGTTTTAAAAAATATTTCAAGTGTGCATAATATATGAAATCATTCATGTATATAACTGTGAATAAATGATATTAAAACAAAGAATAAATTAATCTGGACACGACCGTTTTTTCCAAAATATATCATTTTTGTAGAATGTGTACATGTATCTTGTCAATGTATAGAACTTGATCTGCTCTGCTCAATGTAAACAGCAAAAGTACAAGACGTAAATAAAAGGCTTCTTCTTGTTTAATGTCTGTGGGAGTGGCCATCGGTGTGGGAGTGGTCATGCGCCGAGTGATCGTGGGCGGAGTGATCGTGATCGTGGGCGTGACTGTGATCCTCATGATGGTCATGTGTCTCTGGACTCCAGCCAATCGTACAACACGACACGTGTTTATGTTCGTCATGTACCTGGAAAAATAAGTATTGTGCATTAATGGTTATAAAATTATATATAAAGACTAAAAATTGAATTCTTCGTTTTGAGATGAATGTTTAAGCTAGGGCAAACAAAAGTAAAAAATAATGAACTCGGTGTAAGTTAATGCATCACGTTTCTGCTAAAGACAAAATTTTAGGGGAAAAAAGCAGAGCACCTGTAAATTTGGGATAATTAAAAAAAAAGAAAGTTCAAATTGGTCTGAATATTGTCAGGTTTACAAATCAATTGACATTACATAGCCAAGATACATATACTTACCACACATAGTATAATATTATCGATATGCAAACTATAACATCATATAATCAAAACAGTACACCAAATACTAGTACTAGCCATTTCTAATGTGAATAATTTTTACATCTGCATAATTAAATATTATATATTTCACAAAAGCCACTCTCTCTTTATAGACAAAATTTTCATAAAAGTGATACTGACTACAAGTCCGTGTATGTAGGACCTTAATGTATGCATAATGTAACCTGTATGCATGCATAATAATGAGTCATTACCTTTCATAAATGTATGCTAATGACCTGAAATTGAAAGGTACAATTCATGAATATAATAATATTTACCATTATACTTCTACCAACAATAGAATACTCTCCGAACAGTGTCAGGTGAGTTTCATTCTTCCATGCATCCATAGCACCATCTTTACCAGACTGTAGTGTCCCCAAGTCACCTACATCACTGAAAAACAACAATAACATAATAAACCTTACTGAGCTAGTGTAAATTAATTTAAATCATACCAAGTTAACCTTACTGAGCTAGCGTAAATTAATTTAAATCATACCAAGTTAGCCCGGGTCTCCACGATACCGGTGTACATATTTTATACAAGGTGTTTTTCATATAAAAATTTACTTACTTGAAAAAAATAAGGAATGAACAACTTCATTAACATTTAATCCTCTTAAAAATACATTACAGAGTTCTGTTAATCTGAAATTCTTGCTCACAAGAAATGTAAACAATGGTCGACCATTTTGTATGACGTAGTTAAACAGACTTCATGCTACCGGTGCACTGGTAAAAATGTTATTTATATGGAAAGCCATTGCAGTTTTAATAGCAAAAATATCATTTTAGCATTCTTGTATTCACATCTAAAACAATAACTTAAAAACAACATAAAAAATGTGTGTTTCAATAGTTAACTGTTCATCTTTTATAACCCCCCAAGGGATCTCTGTTTAAGAATCTTTTACTTCCAATTACAGGTGTATATTATACCATGTGACTGGATTAAAAAAATCCCCTTCACCTAATCTTAGTGTTGTTGTGATTTTCTGGTCCTTTTATATCATTGAATCTATTTTATTTCTATATGATGCAGATAAAATATCAATTTGGCACTTTACACAGGCTCCCTTAAAAGACAGAATGAAACTGACTTTTCAATTTTCACAAACTGTTTTATATGCACTAATGGCTTTCCATAGATTAATTTTTTCCCGCCAAAAATGATGTCAAAAGGTCAAGTAACATGTAATGGAGGTTGAATGACGTCAGCACCTGTCATTTTTTTATTTTCTTGGAAAAGAAAGTGTTTTGTAGAGAGACTAATTTATGCAATGGTAAAATAGGATAGTAAAATAAAAATAAGGTAGGATATGTGAAATATTTCCTTCAGAAACTCATGAAAATGTTTAAAAACTTTGAAATAGCCAATATTACTGGGAGCATGTCAATATAAACACTCGGTAGGTGGTGTTGACAAAAATATCGCGAGATTTGTGAATATACCGGTACCGAGGAGTCACCGGTATCATGGGGTTTGAGTATACCTGACCTTGAATTTAAAAATAGTGCTGATTTCGAGGGCAAATAATTCACAGTTAAGGAAGCAATGCCTTATTATTTTCTGCTTTTCATTATGTTGACTTCCTTCCAAGTGAGTATGCCAAATTTCAGGAATTGGTATTTACATTGTAGGACGTTTTTTTTTTAATTTACTTTTCGTCTGGCAATTTTCTTTTAAAAATGGCTTATTTTAAAGGATTTACAGTATCGGAACTGAATATGACATTCTATGAAATTTTCCACATTTATCAATAGTAATCATAAGGTTTGTAAAACTTATGTGTAAGTCATCTGCCCTTAAACCGACCTTAAATAAATAAATAAAAGATCAAAACGAATTTTAAAAAATCCAGATAAATCTGTGGACCCCAATTATTTTTTCGCTTAAATTGTTTCTGTACTTATATTTTAATGTCATGGAAAATTTAAATTAGTGTTACGCAGTTTTCACTATAAGCAGTCCTTGCTTTTAGCCAATAATTTACAACATTTATAAACAGTGGAACCTTTTCTTGTTCCGGTGTTGCCAGATTTCAGTATCTTCTTGCAAAATTTGAGATGATTTCGCTTTTGTTCATACTTCACAAGAGTTATTAAAAAGGTAGCCACAAAATGTGTCAAATAATTGACACAATAATAATCAAATATTATTTCATAAAGAATTCACAGCTTTAAGTCCTTTACACATCAATTTATTTTGATTTATTTTGAAAACTCCTGATAAGCTAAAAACGGAGGTTCACCCTGTTCCAAGCCTATAACTGCGGACTCTGTATTTTTCCACGCCTTCCACTTCAGCATGCAATGATCTCCATAAATTTATAAAGGTATGTTCTGTGCTAATCTGTTTTGTCTTCTGATAAACCAAACGCGAGACCGATTGTTTAAAGGCACAATGATATTGAACAACAACAAACAAACAAAAAAACCCAAACATTTTTTTTCATCTTAAAGGGATATCATTTGTTTTAATTCCATTATTTTATTGATTTATTTTGATAATATAGTGGTAAAAACACTGAATGTGATATAATATCATGAAAAGAAGCAAAACGTAAACAAAAGTGGTATTTTCACTTTCATACACGATAATTCTTCTAAATACCAAAATGCAAATGTAGCCGAAGATGGGTCAGTTATATGGCCGGGAAATTGCAACAGAACACCAAATATTAAAATATTTAAATAAGTATAACAATAATTTTTTGAGGGGGAGGGGGACCAGATGGGGGGGGGGGTATGGGGGCGCTTAATGTACCTTTAAAGTAAAGAAAAACATGTATAATTTACTCTACAATGACTCACTTATCGTGATAAGGATCGTAATGTCCACCGACATTTGCACAATCGTCGGAAAGGTCGCCATATTGGTGCACGTGGAACTCGAATTCGCTGTTTTCATGTGCTAGCTTATTGTAATGAAAATGGAAGCTAGCCGACCGGTCGTGGTCCTAAACAGAATAAAAAACAATTTATTAAGTAAACAAGAAAAAGTCTTTGGCACCCCTACTTGTATAAATGTAAACGTCTAATGGTATAAATATAAACACTATAATATAAATGTATATACATAAAAGTATATATATTTGAACGTCAAATAGTATGAAAGTGAACGTCTGATAGTATAAATGTAAACATCGAATAGCATATATGTGAACTCTAGACAACTTATTATGTAAACATTATAATATGATAATATGATTTTAGGCTATGTTTGACGCCGCGTCAGCAGAATAGAGGTGATATGGCGACTTTTCAGTTTTATTGATGCAGGAAGACGTCATGCTTTCCTCCGTGCAGGTTCGAGCAAGCACCAGTGTAGAACCACCAATGCTAGCTGGATAACTTCCACACATTGAAAAAATCCAAAGTCTCTGGCAAGATTCGAACCTGCAGTGGTGAGGGACAAGTGGTTTGAAATCAACGACCTTAACATAAAACAAGTAATGTATACGCCTACTACTATGTAATGTTGAACCGCGTAGTGAGATGGTTATTGTCAGGTCCTAATAACATAAATGTAAACGCACGTTGATACATATAATAATAATAATAATAATAATAATAATAATAATAATAATAATAATAATAATAATAATAATAATAATAATAATTATAATAATAATAATGATAAAAATAATGATGATAATAATAATAATGATAATAATGATGATGCTTTGATGATGATGATGATGATGATGAGGATGATAATAATGATGATAATAATAATAATAATAATCATAATATTAATAATCATAATAGTATAATAAAAAATTAAAGCGCTGATTAAACAATAGATATATATCTATATACCCCTTGATAGATGGTGACTGTACCGTCGGCAATTTTATCATCCATTCTGCAAAAAGCAATATGGTCATCTGAAAAAAAAATCATCCTACCCTATCATTCTTATATATTTCTGTTTCTAATTAGCAAATGAGGGATATTGAACATGTGTGACGGTGATAAGTAAATACGAAGGACGCCTTTTTAAGCTTTTGATTTCAATCACAGAGTTTACGGTTTTTATTCACAAAATTATAATATAAATATATGATACATTTTTTGAATCCTTATAATCATTATTTTTTACAATCGACAAAAGTTGACACGCAAGCAAACATACAACCCCATTTTTCAAAAGCAGTCTTCGCTTTAATGAAACTCGAATCTTTCTCGTTAGTGTCTATAGAGAGCTATTGTATCAAAAGTAAAAATAAAACATTTTCTAAAAACAACATAAACATTTCTATACACGCGTTTATTTCAATCACTTACGATGCACGTGGCCGTCTTCGCCATGACTACCATGGCCATGGTCATTGTCTGACACGTGTACGTCAACATGCACGTGCGCGTCACCGTCGTCATGATGACTATGATCGCCATCACCATGGAAATAGAAATGCACGTTGTTTCCAGAAGAACCACCAGACTGCTTCTCCAAAGCCTCTACTCTTGACTGCAATTCATCAAATGCAGCGCCTGAAAAAACAACGTGACAATGCCGCCAAACAAGGTTTTCAACAAGAGACACCACAAATGGGCCGACGCGATATCCGCTTTTAATCGTGTAAATGTAATTATAAAGTTTACTTGTTCTGTCGTATGTGATGTTTTGTACAAATATAAATCACATTCCTTAAACTATTTATGCACCATAAAGCCTATTGTTCTATTTTTAATAAGACTGGGCTTGTCCTAGGGTGCTGAAAAGCAATTTCTGGCACAAGGTCTGCTCTTCAGCTTGTTATAATCTCAGTTTTCATTACAATATATTTCATTTTGTTTATTTAAAATTATTCCTTACTCTGCTTATGCACCGGAAACTATTTGAGCCGCGTCATGACAAAACCAACGTAATGTGTTTGCGACCAGCATGGATCCAGACCAGCCTGCGCATCCGCGCAGTCTGATCGGGATCCATGCTGTTCTCTACTTGTTATAGGGTTTGTAAGCGAACAGCATGGATCCTGATCAGACTGCGCAGTTGCGCAGGCTGGTCTGGATCCATGCTGGTTGCAAACCCATCATGTTGGTTTTGTCATGACGCGGCTCATTTAAACTATGTTTTATACTTGATCATTGGTGGATGAAAACAATTCTTTGCGAGGTCTTACAGATCTACAGATTTTCAAATGTCGCATTATTTGTTTGTTTGTTTGTTTGTTTGTAATACTCTGCGACAACTAAGATTTCGAAGCGTGGCTCGACAGACATTTTGATAAAATTGCTGCGACATTTTGACAATTTTGCCTTGCATTGTCATGTGTCTATAGAGGACTATTTTGCACATCGATTTTTTTTCACATTGTATTGCATTTTGTACCGCACACAAACTGTAGTGAACGGTAATCCAACCTGATATGGATCACAAAAGTGTGCTGTCAATTACGTTGGTTTCCGTTAATACATTAATCAAACAATATCAGGTTCGCATCGCGTATAAAAAATATAACATTTTGAAAAGAAAACAACAAAAAGCAACAACAACAGATATCATAAATGGTTAATTGTGTTAATTTATCTACAAACCATCAATCTTCGAGTATTTCACTTTCTTTTTCTTTTCTCCCTTTCCGGCCAATACTTCTGTCATCAGCATGACGACAAAAACAGAAAGAACTACCAGTCTAGTGAACGCCATCATTAACAATGCTTCACAGAACCTAACACGAGAAAATATATGCATGTTGATTATATTAATTTATCACTTAAATTGCTGAAGTAAACTTGATTAGTCTTTACCGCCAGTATAGTGTCAGGTTAGCCTGTACATCCATGCATTCTGGTGACAGTATACTGTTAATAGTATAATTAATTTATTTTATCATTGACCGTTGAATTTGAAATAATTTGTCACTATAGTAGCAAGATGCTCATAGTGTGGAATTTTGTCTCCCATTAGAATAATGTATTTTACTTAATTTTAAGGTAATAGCTGTAATAACATAACAAGTGACCAAAAGCCGGTTCAGCAACATGGATAATAAGTACACTTTTGGAAACCAAGAATAAATAATTATATGAGCCGCGTCACGACAAAACCAATATAGTGTGTTTGCGACCGGCATGGATCCAGACCAGCATGCGCATCCGCGCAGTCTGATCAGGATCCATGCTGTTCGCTTATCGACTGTATAACAAGCAGAGAAACTGATAGCGAACAGCATGGATCCTGATCAGACTGCGCGGATACACAGGCTGGTCTGGATCCATGCTGGTCGTGACGCGGCTCATTTCATTTCATTTGTAAAGTAATACCAGTCCGAATCTCGAAATATCTGACTTCTGTTTTCTTTTCCGTAAAATTCCAAAGATAAAAAAATAAATGTAAATTTATACTTATAAAATAATTTAGGATGGTTCCTAAATCATCTAAGACTTCAGACTATCTTTCATGAAATGAGCTGTGTCATGACAAAACCAACATAGTGCGTTTGCGACCAGCATGGATCCAGACCAGCCTGCGCATCCGCGAAGTCTGATCAGGATCCATGCTGTTCGATTACCAACCCTTTTACAAGTATAGAAAATTATAGCGAACACTATGGATCCAGATCAGACTGCGCGGATGCGCATCCTGGTCTGGATCCATGCTGGTCGCAAACCCATTATGTTGGTTTTATCGTGACGCGGCTCAAATAACTTTACGTCGTCAATTCGGACCCACAACGACGAGGGACAAGTAAAATCAGAGTAAGCTAAATAAGCAATCGCTAATTTCTTGAAAACGGGGACAAGTTAAACTGTAATCTCCTGGTATTTTGCATTATATAAACATAGGATCACATAGTTATTGAAATAATTCAATGCTTATAAACCTTTATTTTTCTATCATTTGTAAAATATTTAGTTTACTGTAATAAACGTTTGAATTGAATTGAAATAACAATCAGTAACATGTATGTCATGTCATAAACAATTACGTGCGTAGTTATACTTAATGCCCCATCCAACAACAAACATTCTTTAAAGTACAACCGTTGAAACAAGTTATGCCTATTACACTATAATTACAGCACAAATTTTTTTTAAGGCCCGTTATGCTCCCAGAAATGCTTTTGTGTTTTACTTCTCAAAAGATTATTCTTAAATTCGCAAATACATAGTAATTCAATATTTTATATGGAAGTCAAAATACTACCTTGTCTTTAATTTGGCTACTTTTTTGACAAATTATTTCGCATTAGGTGCTACATTCGTGAGTGATAAGCACCTTACATGATATAAAAAAATATTGAATTCATGTCTGCCTTTTCTAAAGAAGGAAAAATGCATTTCTTTTTTAAAACATAATGTGCATAAAACGATCGTTCAAGAATTTGTAGATAAAAACTTACCTTTAGTTTTGTTATGTAAAACCCTGCCTGGCGACCAGTGTCCACAATAAACAGAATGTGTCTGGTTATTTTATTTTATATGTAAAACGCACGCGGGTTAATTGGTGATAATTGGCACCACCACTCAGACTCGGTTTCAAGTGTTTTACCGTTTCCAACGTCAAAAGTTGTCGCTAATGTTTAATTAAGAATGAATGCCGTTTAATGAAACTTATGAATTTTGCGAGCAATGCCCTCTAATGAGGAGGGAAACTTAAAAACTTCAAGACATTATATTATTTGTTTCCAATTAAGAAAGTCAAAGTCCTAAAAAAAACTAGGACAAAATGGGCGTAAAGTCAATGTCTACATTAGTGCACATGAATCAAAACAATTGTAAAAATGTTAACAAGGTCATTTCTAGATTCGTGAATAATAGAATCGGACCTATAATGTCCGTATAATTATCCTTACGAAAAATGTTCTACAATTATTCATATTCATGTTTTCAAAGAAAATTTAATATTATAAGGCATTTTCTCCCTGAATGAATTTATTGTTTTTTTATTTACAAATGTATACGCACCGGAAACGGTAAGGCTGTAGACCTTATTGCTGGACGTTGTCCTCTTTTTGCGAAAGCGGACATCATCACTACTGAAAATTAGTCATTGCGTCTGCGCTGACAAGGGACAAAGGTCAACGAACAAGTACGTAAGATCAATGCTAGAGTATTTTACATTTTATATTCATTAACTTGAAAAGAAAACTGTGAAACTTAATGCAAGTGTTTGAAATATTTATTAATGAATTCTCTCAGACAGTCTATGTTTGTTTTCAGAATTTTAATCTGCTTTTTTTTTCAGAAAGTTTAATTTTGTTGTGACACCGAATATATTGCCCCCCTTTGAAAATGCCCTTCTTTTGATACACAGTAAAGAAGTCCTGTAGAGTACAAACAAAAAATCTTTATAAGTCCTTATATAACAAGCAAAAACTACACATATATGTTATAGATAAACTCCAAATATGAACCCAATTTTGGGGTGACTTATATTGGAGCACATTGTTTAAGAATTGTTTTCTTGAATACAACTCGGTATGAGCTCGCCACATAATATAACCGATACAACTCTATGTTTACATTGGTGGAATGTTGTCACAGACTTGTTTGTAAACGGCATGTTTGCCTCTAGGAACCATATAAGTGCTATAGTTATCTGCTACACGCTGAAAAATATTACAATCGCCGTTCTCCAGTTTAATGCACTACAGAAAATATGTGGGGGAATAGATGTTGTTGTTCAAATAAGTACCATCACATTAGTTAAGAAAGCATGCTTTTGTTTCTTGATTGGGTTTTACGTCGCACTGACACCGTAGAGGTCATAATTATAGCGATTTTCCAGCGTTACTGGTTGAGGAAGACCACAGGTGCCTTTCGTTCATTATTTCAGGCACGAGTGGCAACTGACGTTCCGTAACTTTGGCATCACGTCTGTTTACCATACTCATTCTTAACAATTAGCTGTTTAATTCACTTGCCTCAGCTCTTCCTCAACTTTTGAGACATTTCCCACTCATTGTTTTTAAATAAAACTTCGAGAGTACACTACGGTTTTAAACCCTTTTAAACATTTTACATATAAATGACCTTTCAAACAAAACTGGTGACAAATTTATAAGAGATGTACATAACTATTCAAAAACTTTTAAATCGAATAAGTCATCAAAGAATTAATTTACCAGTAGTCTGGTTTAAGACATATCGTACGACGGAAAACAGACTTGATCAATTACTAAGTACTAAGAAAGCATCACCCCGCCACTACATATTGATGCCACTTTAAAAACCCTGATTAAATATTTTTCACCACAGTTATTTTTGACTTGGTACCAGGGTTATATATAACATGTACCGGTACATTACATCTAAAACCCCAGTCACACTAGAGCTTACGATTACTTGCCACCACCGGCGACTTGTAAAACTGACGATCATCAGCGATTGTCTGCGACCAAAACCATTTTTGCACAGATAAATTTACTTTTGCGAGTATCGTAAGACAAGTCATCATTGACAATCGCACGACAGGTCATAAGTAAACGTACGATGGTCTCAAGATTGCCTGGGATTACTTACGACTACCCGTGGCATAACATGCGATCACCTATAACTTGTCGTACGACCATCACACGGTTACTAAAGACTACTTAAGATTATCAGTGACTGGTGACTGTCGCCAGATTGTCACACTTCCGAACGACCATCGTGCGACAGCCTTAAGACCTTATCAGATCACTAGCGACCTGTTTGATCGCAAGGAGGTTTTTGTGTAAGCTCAAAAACCTCTCTACGACTGAAATTGGTCGTGGGACTGCGATTGTCGAAGATCGTAAGACGTTTTAAAGATGATCGTGAACTGGTCTTCACTGGTCGTAAGCTCTAATGTGACTGGGGCTTTAAACCCCAGTCACACTAGAGCTTACGATTACTTGCGACCAGAGGCGACTTGTAAAACTGACGATCATCAGCGATTGTCTGCGACCAAAACCATTTATGCACAGATAAATTTACGTTTGCGAGTATCGTAAGACAAGTCATCATTGACAATCGTACGACAGGTCATAAGTAAACGTACGATGGTCTCAAGATTGCCTGGGATTACTTACGACTACCCGTGTCATAACATGCGACCACCTACAACTTGTCGTACGACCATCACACGATTACTAAAGACTACTTAGGATTATCAGTGACTAGTGGCAATTTGTAAAGACTGTCGTAAGATTGTCGCACTTCCAAACGACCATCGTGCGACAGTCTTAAGACCTTATAAGATCACTAGCGACCTGTTTGATCGCAAGGAGGTTTTTGTGCAAGCTCAAAAACCTCTTTACGACTGAAATTGGTCGTGGGACCTAAATAAGATAACCTGCGACTGTCAAAGATCACCGATGACCGTCGTAAGACGTTTTAAAGATTGTCCGCGACCAGAGGTCACTGGTGATCGTGAACTGGTCTTCACTGGTCGTAAGCTCTAGTGTGACTGGGGCTTTAAGAAACTTTAAAAGGCACGTGTTAATTAATAATGCTCTCAATCATCAATATATGAGCCGCGTCACGACAAAACCAACGTAATGCGTTTGCGACCAACGCGGATTCAGACCAGCCTGCGCATCCACGCAGTCTGTTCAGGATCCATGCTGTTCGCTATCAGTTTCTCTACTTGTTATAGGTTTTGTAAGCGAGCAGCATGGATCCTGATCACACTGCGCGCATGCGCAGGCTGGTCTGGATCCATGCTGGTCGCAAACACACTATACGCGGCTTATATATATTTGGCTATTTCATTGCCAAAACTGAAAAATGTATCTCCTGATTGGACGGATGTATCAGTCAAAATAAACAAAACCATGAAGACCGAAACCATGACATCTGACCCAGTGACCGAAAGTTTAATACGGAGAGTCTCAATATGACCTTCCGGTCTGAAATATTGAACCTTTATCAACTACCTTTCCTTGTCTGACTGCATATGTCATGAAATGTAAAACACTTTTTAAAACTCGATAGAATATCGTACTTTCGACCTTCCTCCGGCGTGGTTTGTTGTTTCGTTATTTCGATTTTTCATTATCGTGGTTTCGACTTTTCATCGTTGTTGGTGTATCGCGATGGTCCTAATGGGACATCGTATATCCACACTTTTCCCAACCGCTGGACGACATTGCACGACACTCCTGTATTATGTATCCATGGTATCTCCAAGGAACCTGATAACATTCAATTATCATCTTGGTCACATTTACAGACATTCCCGTTGATAAAATGTTGAAACAACATTGTTAAAGATAAAAATAAGATATTTACAGAGAGAAATATAGGTGTTTGTGTGTGTTGTATTACGAATTGGAAGGGGCGAAATTTGACTGAGTAAGTAACTTATAGATATTTATCATATATCATAGATATACTATTTATGTATCTGATCATGATTTGAATGTAGAAGAAAGTAAACTTCAACAAAATTTGGATACCATGTATCGATGGTGAAATTTAAACAAGATGTTAATCCAAATAAAACAAAAATGCATGATGGTATGTACGAAACAAAATAAGTAATTATTGAAATGAACTATCTTTAAGCAAAATGTAAAATAGAAAAAAATATTAGGTGTTTATATAAATTATACTTTGTCCTGGAACTACCGAAATGAAGCGCTTTTTTTCAAAACTTAATTCAAAAATATCATTTGTGAGGCGTACATATTATTATTTGACAGATGAATTGAAACAGTTATTCTATAATGCATATACATGTATAATGTAAAATTTCGATTATTGCTGTACTGTTTGGAGCAATGCAATTTAAAGTCTTTAAATAAAGTTGTTAAATTACAAATAAAAGTTGCAAAGATTATTTTAAACAAATCATCTCGAATAAAAAAACAAGATGTACTAAAAGAACTTGGATGGATGTCGTTCAATGAACGATGTAATTTTCATACTAGATTTCTCATTTATAAAACTTGTAATAACCTAGTCCCATCATATACAATGTATCTGAAATTGTGACTTTAAAAAGCGGCAATGAAATTCCGATTTGAAATCTTCATCACATAATGACATAGTTATGCATAAGCACCACACAGCTATTTACAATGGCGCAACGTTTTTGAATAGAATACCATTTAATATCCGTTCTTATAACTCTCTGACATCTTTTAAAAGTAGATTAAAATCATGTCTTGCTGATCAAATAAATATCTTCATAACTCTGTCATTATGTCATTATGTTTTATTACAGAACAGAACAGGACATTTCTTTTATTTCATAGACACAGAATACAAAACATACATTTTGTAATAACATGTGAACAAATAAACAATTAATTTACAACATAATATATATATATATATATATATATATATATATATATATATATATATATATATATATATATATATATATATATATATATATATATATATATATATATATATATATATATATATATATATATATATATATATATATATATTACAGCATTTTAACTACATGTATTATAACTGAGACGAGTGTCTGTGATTTGGGCATGTTCATGTTCGAATAATTTCCTTATGGGTTAATTGCATTTCCTCTAAATTTTCGTGAAAATCTGCTATATTAAATAC